AAGAAAACTGGAGAGCGTATCCCCTCTCCACCGTGCGAAGGACCCAACGGTCTGAGGTTATAAGGGACCAAGCATGGTGGAAACGGGAGAGGCGATCCCGAAAGGAAGGAAATGGATCCTGGGTAGTGGCTGGCGCGCAGTCCTCGAGCGCACCTTCAAAAGTTTTGCCTAGGTCCTGAGGGTGGCCTAGGAGGGCCCTGGTTCTGACCGGGTTGGGGGCCGGTCGACCTCCATCTACCACCTCGTCCCCACCTTCTGGGGAAGTCCTGTCTCGGACGAGGAGGAGGAGGGTAGAACCTTTGTGGCTGGGGCCTAAAGGGCCTGCGCTGGGGTCCTGGGACATGCATCCCCAGGGAGCGCATGATGGTTCTGGAGTCCTTGAGGCTCTGCAACCGAGAGTCCGTCTTGTCCGAGAACAACCCGTGGCCCTCGAACGGCAGATCTTGCAGGGTCTGCTGCAGTTCTGGAGGTAACCCCGAAACCTGGAGCCAGGAGACGCGTCGCATGGCTATCCCAGACGCTAGTGTCCTGGCAGCCGAGTCCGCAATGTCCAAGGAGGCCTGCAAGGAGGTCCTAGCCACCTTTTTACCTTCCTCCACTAGGGCCCCGAACTCCTCCCTCGAGTCCTGGGGGACCAACTCTTTAAATTTACCCATGGAATTCCATGAGTTGTAATTGTACCGACTCAGGAGCGCCTGTTGGTTTGCGGCTCTGAGCTGCAGACCCCCCGCTGAGTAAACCTTGCGTCCAAACAAATAGAAGCGTTTAGCGTCCTTCGATTTGGGCGCTGCCGCCTGCTGACCATGGCGCTCTCTAGCATTCACTGAGGAGACTACCAGTGAACACGGTGGAGGATGTGTATAGAGGTACTCATGGTCTTTAGAGGGGACAAAGTACTTCCTCTCTACACCTCTGGCAGTGGGAGGGATGGAGGCCGGGGTTTGCCATATGGCATTAGCGTTAGCCTGGATCGTACGAATAATGGGCAATGCCACCCGGGATGGGGCATCAGCTGAAAGGATGCTCACCACTGGGTCCTCCACCTCCACTATCTCCTCAGCCTGTAGGTCCATATTCCATGCCACCCTACGCAACAAGTCTTGGTGGGCACGGAGGTCTATTGGAGGTGGGCCTGAGGCTGTTGTACCCGCCACCGCCTCATCTGGGGAAGATGAGGAGGACACCTCAGGGGGTAAAGGATCCATATGAGGGTCTGGCTCCAAGGGTCCCTGATGTGCAGGATCCCCTGCACCGGGGTCTGGGGCCTGCGTGGGTGTCGGCACGGAAGCCTCCATGCCCCCTGGGGGAGGACGGGAGATGGTGGCCTCAGGAGCCCTGGGCTCAGAGTGTGCTGAGCGAGAGGCCACTGGTGGGGCCCCTTGAGCTTGGTGATACATCCATGGAGTCCAGAAAAAACCAATGTGCAGGGTCCTGTCTAGGGTCCTCTGCCCCCTCCTGCCAATGACCCAAGTCGTCTGCAGCCTGACCCTGAGCAGGGTATGCTGAACGGGAAGCCTCTTCCGACGAGCGAGACGCCGATCTTGAGGGCCAGGGCGGTGCCGAGCGTTGTTGCAGGGGCTCGTCCTTGTACGGTGCCGAGCGGTGCTGGTCCACAGGCGAGCGGTCTCTGCGCGGAGCCGGTGAGCGGTACCGGGATCGAGAACGGTGCCGATGTCCATGTCGGTACCGGGATCCAGATCGGGAAGACGAAGACCGTCTGTAGACTCGGTGCCGGGAGCGGCCTCGCGAACGGGAGCGGCGCTCATACCGGTGCCGAGAACTGCTCCTGGACTCCGACCGGTACCGATGCTCAGGTCGGTGCCGAGAAGTAGACCGGTGCCGGGAGGAAGATCTGGGCCGCGAGTACGACCGGCACTGAGATGAAGATCGGTGCCGGGACTGCGAGCGGTGTCGGGACCTGCTCCGAGACCGGGAACGGTGCCGTGAGTCCACGCTCGGAGATGGCGGGCGTATCAGGGCAGGCTTGCTCCTGGATTGCACAGTACGAAGGGCATGCGGTGCCGCGGGTTGAGACGGCGCCGGCTCCGTGAGGGCGATGAGGTCTTTCACCGTTGCAAAAGTCTCCAGTGTAGAAGGGAGACAGGGCTCCACCACTGGACGAGGCGGTGAGCCAGTCCGCACTGGACTCAACGGCCCTACACCGTGTACCAGAGTCAACGGTGTTGACGGTGCCTGCACCCTCTGGCGTTCCGAAGCCGGACGCGGCTCTACCATTGGTGCGGGGGGAGCCGGTGCCCGTTGGACGGCAGCGTCCTGAGTCTTGCGGGGTCTTTTATGTCCCGGAGACAGGGACCGGCGCCGAGGGGCTTGCGGCGGACGCGGTGCCGAGGGAGGACGGTGCCGTGGGGCCTTATCCGCGTCTGCTCGCGGTGCAGTACCGGAGGGTGCCGCTGGGGCGCTGCGCACCGAGACGCTCGGTGCCGGAACTTGGCGCGCCGAAGGAGGATCTGGGCTAAGTGCCACCTCCATAAGGAGCTGCTTAAGTCTAAAGTCCCGCTCCTTTTTGGTCCTGGGCCTGAAAGCCTTGCAGATCTTACACTTGTCCGTCTGGTGAGACTCCCCTAAAAACTTCAGACAAGAGTCATGAGGGTCTCCCGTTGGCATAGGCTTAGCACAGGTCGCGCATGGCTTAAAGCCAGGAGCCTTGGGCATGAGCCCAGCTGTGCGCCGGGGGGGAAAAAGGGGGGATAATAGCCCCCTTAACCCCCGCTAACTACTTATAACTATTTATAACTACTCTTCAAACTATTAACAACAAACTACTAATCTAAAGAATACAATTAACAACTATCTACAAGAACTAACGAGTAAAGCTAGGGAGAGTGGAGAACAGCTATGCCGCGCTCCACAGTTCCAACGACCGTCACGGGCAGTAAGAAGGAACTGAGGGGGCGCTGGGTCGGCTGGGGTATATATCCAGCGCCATGAAGGCGCCACTCCAGGGGGCTCCACAGCCGACCCACCAGGTGTTGCTCGTGTAGAAAATTCTCCGACGATCGTGCACGCGGTGCGCACACACCTAACTGGAATAGATATGAGCAAGCACTCGAAGAAGAATGCTGGCTTCCTACAGAAGGTGTTAGGTCCTACCCACCAAGGCGGCCCACTGAAACCAAATGAGCCATTGTGAAACATCAAAGAACAATTACGTGGTTAATTGCATTCCTCCCCTCACCCATGAAGAGGAGACATGTGTGTGAACTCATCCCATCAGCTTCAACTCTGGGGCGAAAGGAATAAAAATACCCCACAAGAAGAAACTGTAGCTCTCTGCTGCTTGGACTTTGAGACTTTGGCAAGATTTCTAAGCCTACATCAGAGATCCCCAGCTGCATAGGCTGGTTTGGCCCTAAAGGACATATACAGATTGCATATACAGCAACTTCTGTCACCTTTTGAAACCTAAGGCTAACTCATTAGTATGTGTATGTTTATCTGCTTTAACCATGTAAATAACTAAATTTGTTTTTCTTAGTTAATAAATCTTCAGTTAATTTATTATAGGACTGGCTACCAGTGTTGTCTTTATTGTAAGATCTAAAGTGGAATTAACGTGGGATTCGGCATAACCTTATTATTGTGGTGATTTTTGGTATAAGGGACCATCTATCACAAAGGCAAGCTTGCATAGGTAGCAAGATAGAGCAGGAGTACCCAAGGGGACTGACTGTGACTCCATGTTAGGCTGTTAAAGTGCCTGAGGAGTTTACTCTCGATACTTGGTTGGTGAAATCTAAGTACAGAATTTACAACCAGTTTGGGGTTTGTGCCCTGCTTCTTAACAGTCTGTCCTGAAGTTGGTACTCAAACTCTTGAGCCACACTAGACAGCTTAACAGTGATGATTAAGAACCCAATCCAGCAAATACATACACGTGTTTAGCTTTACCACCATGATTTCAACCTTCCATTGATTTAAAAAAAACTACTCATGGTAGTAAAGTTGAAGCATGTGCTGGATCGGGACATAAGGTTAAGGTATACCAAAAATATTGCTTAAGTTAATAGGGACTGTTTGGTGGAGATGCAAAACAAGCATATCCCCCTTCAGGGGGAAACAAAAAACCAAACAAACAAAACAAAACACACACACACTTACACTTTGATTACATAACCAGAAGGTATATTATTCCAATTCAGCTAAGTACTTCAGGTGTAAAATTAGAATAAAGATTAGATTGCAAACATATCCATTTTCCTTTACCCACATGATTATTTAAAAAAAAAAAAAAAAAAAAAAAACCTGTAAGTTCCTAAAAGGTTAGTTCACTTCAATTGTTTTAAAAATAAAAGCCAGTAGCATCTACTTATCTTAATTTGTGTTTTTAAAACATCCACCCTTCTCTTCCAACGTATTCATCTACCAAGTGTGCCTATTAGCAAGAACCCACTGAGTGACTGGGGAGGAGGTAATAAAAATTGTTATCATCAGGTTCCACAGCTGTAAAGTAACCTTCTATACTTTACAGAATTACTTGACAAATATTTTAATTATGGAATGGTTTGAGTAGTTTCACTTACATGTCTTTCAATGTAACAAGTTTTCTTTCAAAAAATATATACAAATTTTACTTTGATCACTTTTTTATTTACCTGGGTATTCTAATACATTCCTCTGTACCAGGCAAGCCAAGCTGTCCATCAGTAGCAAGACCCCAAGCATACACTTGGCCCTTGTCATTTAATGCTAGTGTGTGGGCTTCTCCACATGAAACAGACACAATATTCTGGGCATCCAGGGCACCAACATGCTCTGTAAAAGTAAGAGAGGAAAGAAATTATGTTCTAATATATTACCATTAAACAAAAAATTTCCATTCCTGCCATTGTATACTAAGATATTAAATGAAATATCATGGAAAATTAGTCTCAAAGCATGCCAAAATACCTTTATTAATGACATAACAATCCAACAAGGGCAAGTTAAATCTCACCGTATTATTATCCCATATAAACAGTGACCAGGATTAAAGTATCGTTACAATACAAGGGCACTCTATCAACTGGAATGCACGATAATAGTAACAGTTCTCTTCTAACCTTAAAATCTATGAAAATGAATGCACAGACTCAATTAACAGTAAGGTGATTATTACTGAATGATTAAATGTATAGCCATTATATCAGAGGAAAACATTCCATTATGCACGGATTATTATCATCATTAAGAAGTCCTTTAATAGAAAGGCAGAATAAGACAGATTACAGACTAAGGCCACCATCCTGCAATGGACTCTACACAGGTGTTCTTCTGCATGCATGCACAGAAGGATCAGGGCCTAAAAGCTAAATTTGATGCACAGATACATGCAGCAGACTTCTGAAAAACGTGTAGTGAATTAAGGACATAAGACTCCATTGTTAACCTCTTGTTTGTCACTACTCTGTGTGTGCATACCTTCAGATATGTTTGGCTGTATTCAAAGTGTGCACTTGTGCTGGTTAAATAAGCTACATCCCCATGCACTCAATAGCAAACTTGAGAAACTGGGCAGTTAAGCAAAATTATTTTTTAAAAAAAAATTGAAGGTGTGGTTTTCATAAAAACTGCGAATTAGTTATAGACTGAGAAAGAATGCACTGGGACATAAGCTAATGCAACAGCTGATGGGAGACTGTTGAATGGTTTCAGGGCCAAACTCTGGGACGTGATGGAAGGGACAGAGAACCTATTAGAATCGAAGCTATGTTTTCAAAGGTCATTTACTATACGTTAAATTATTTTAAAATTTCAATTATAATAGTTGATTGGATTCAAGCATTAGTAACCCAAAAGCTCCAGCACTGTACTACTGCATGAGAACCATAAAGTTAAATTGAGCTGTCCTTTAATTTTCCAAGCAAAATGAAGTGCAAAAAAAGTAAAACAGCATAAACAGTTAAGACTAAATGGTATTTTTTTTAAAAACTGTTCATGTTTTAATAATTTATGATAGTATTAGTAGTAGTACAGATAAAGCAGATGTTTTAAGATAGATGTTTTTAATTCCATAAATGCTACCAAAAGCAGTTTCTACTACCTTGGATTCCTTTTCTGACTATTATGGTTTTCTTTACGTCTTCTCCTTTAAAGGGATGTTGAGAGATTTAAAAACAACTACCCGGTATTTTCCTCCTCTCTAATTTCTTGTGTTCAGAAACCTCCAGAAATTTTTATTTCAACTTCAACAATGTTATGGGGGAATATCAGAGTCCTGTTATTGTTCATAAGTGTCCATGAATCATGTGCTCATTTTCAAACAGTTTATGCTCAATTTTCTAAAGTGCTGACTTAAACAAAAGCTGTGAATGCTCAGCACCTTTGAAAAATCAGGTGCAAGATGTCAAATTAGGCATCCCAAAATTGAAGAACACAAAATAATTGAACATCTGAAGTGTAGTTTTCTAACATGTTGTGTTTTTCTGAAAGCCCCAGATCCTGGAGTCCTTTAATCTCAACTTTCATTTTTTACAACATACTTTCTATGCCTCATGGTTATTGGGAAAAGTCTGAAAACATGACTTGAGTGTAAAAATTCAGAAACCAGAAGGCTAATAAAAAAAAATTTAAATCATTTTTAAGCCAATCATAATTTCTGAACGTGAGTTTGGCAACTGAGTGACTGCAGCAGTTACAGAATGCTTATAGATAAGTTAGTAGTTGGCAAGCATACAGAAATACACATATGCCCGTAAATGAAAACAAACAGGAAATCCACTCTTCTGCCCTCGCCTCACACACATGGCATTCTACAGAACATAAAAATAACTTGAACGGTAAGTGTAGCTCTACCCTAAGCATTCCCTGTACTGCCAAATAAGAGGCAGACCAATATTTCACGTATCTGGTCATTTTATAAATAATAAAAACAGGGGGAAAAGATAAAAAGAAAATAGGAGCTCAGGAAGAAAAATGTTGCAACTCAGAAATAGCTTGTAAATTTCATGCTCACGCTTGCTCCTAATTTAAAAGTTCCGTTTGGTGAGATGATTAAAATCCAGTAGTAATCACAAAAAAAAGACAGTCATTAAAAGTGAAAAGCTTTTATTCTGATAACCCCAGACAAATCCAGGAGCTTGCAGCACTAAATGCTAAAAGGTTGCAGAAATGAAAGAACAATTTGCAGCAACTATGCTGTCAAAGTCTCCTGCTGGTCTACTGTCCCAGCTTCACTACCACTAGAGGCAAAACTAGTTATTTGGGTGTAAGTAATTATTTCTGAGAAAGAGTCCTGTCATCTTCCCGAAGCTCACAGCAGCACCTCTCCCCACATAAGGAAAGATTATGGTACAAAAAGATAGAACTGAAGAATATCAACTATCTATTTAAAGCCCTCCTAAATCCTTGAAGAATGAATCCCTTTTGGAGATCATGCAACTACTACTACACAGCTCTGTCTTACCATGAACCACTTAAGCAGGAGACCCTGCTACCCACACTACTTGGCTTTTCCTTTATGGAACACACAGGTGGGAACCACTGAGATAGCAATAAATGCTAGAGTTCAGGACCTGTAAGTATTTCTATTATAAATACTAACAACAAGAGGAGATTATAACTTGGCTTTAAGACTTCAGACCAATTTTTTTTAAGATTTCCAAACATGAACAATTTGATATACTCTTCACACTCTTAGTAATTTGGTGCATTTAAGTTATTTAAAAAATTAGAAACAGCTTGCTTTCAAACACTCTCTCAACTCCAACAGGTGTTTGTTAAACAGAGCCTCACAAATTCACTTTTCTTCATAGGAGGAAAATGTCATGCAGCAGCCCCTAAGACAGATACATTTGGGTGCATAAAGCAATCCACTATATCGCTTAAAAACAGAATTTTTGCACCAGTACATTGTCTTTTAAGTTTGGCTTATTTTCAAATTAAAATGACAAAGATACAGAAAGTTCAGTGAATAATTACTGTGCACACAAGTCATAGTTAAAGCGCACACAGTATATTTTAAAAGAATCTATATGTATATACCACATGATAGAATGTACATCATATACAGTAATCTAGTTCTACAACCTCTCATTTACAAACTACTGTCAGTGATCTATGGATTGAAAAAAAAAAAAACAGAATGGCCATACTGGGTCAGACCAATGATCGATTTAGCCCAGTATCCTGTCTTCCAACGGTGGCCAATGCCCGGTGCTTCAGAGGGAATGAACAGAACAGGTAATCATCCAGTGATCCATCCACTGTCACCCATTCCCAACTTCTGGCAAACAGAGGCTAGGGACACTTCAGAGCATGGTTTTGCACCTCTGGCTAATAGCCTTGATGGACCTATCCTCCATGAACTTATCTAGTTCTTTTTTGAACCCTATTATAGTCTTGGCCTTCACAATATCCTCTGGCAAAGAGTTCCATGGGTTGACTGTGTGTTGTGTGAAGGAATACTTCCTTTTGTTTGTTTTAAACCTGCTGTCTAATCATTTCATTTGGTGACCCCTAGTTCTTGTGTTATGCTTTCTTCGCAGTAATCATGATTTTAATAGACCTCTATCATATCCCCCTTTAGTCATCTTTTTTCCAAACTGAAAAGTCCCAGTCTTATTAATCGCTCTTCATATGGAAGCCGTTCCATACCCCCTAATAATTTCTGTTGCCCTTTTCTGAACCTTTTCCAATACATCTTTTTTGAGATGGGGTGACCAGATCTGCATGTAGTATTCAAGATGTGGGCATACCATGGATTTATATAGAGGCAAAACGATATTTTCTATCTTATTATCTATCACTTTTCTTAATGATTCCCAACATTCTGTTAGCGTTTTTGACTGCCACCGCACATTGAGTGGATGTTTTCAAGAGAACTATCCACAACGACTCCAAGATCTCTTTCTTGAGTGGTAACAGCTAATTTAGAGCCCATCATTTTATATGTATAGTTGGGATTATGTTTTCCAATGTGCATTACTTTGCATTTATCAACACTGAATTTCATCTGCCGTTTTGTTGCCCAGTCACCAGTTTTGTGAGATTGCTTTGTAACTCTTTTGCCCTCTGCTTTGGACTTAACTATCTTGAGTAGTTTTGTATCATCTGCAAATTTTGGCACCTCACTGTTTACCCCCTTTCTCCGGATCATTTATGAATATGTTGAACAGTACTGGTCCCAGTACAGACTCCTGGGGGTACACAACTATTTACCTCTCTCCATTCTGAAAACTGACCATTTATTCCTACCCTTTGTTTCCTATCTTTTAACCAGTTAATTAATGATCCACGAGAGGACCTTCCCTCTTATCCCATGATAGGGTTTAGCTAAAGGCCTGAACATCCTCAGATAAAACAGTGATGGGTGCCACAGAAAGTCATATAAAATACATGAGTATTTTAAAGCAGCTTAGGGGTTCCAACAAGCCACAATTTAAAAGTCGGTCTCAGTATGGAAACTTCCTTTTGTATTAATTCTAATAGTATTAAAAAACAATTGTCACATTTTGCTGCTTTGCATGCAAAGGTAATAAAGGCCCCAGGTCAGTTAATTATTTTTCCAAGATGAAAAAAAATGTCTATTGCAAGCATGCTAGTTACAATCTTAGTCTTCAAAATGGTCTTCAAATTGTGTCATTTACTGGACAAGATTAATATATTCAGATCTTAATAGCTATTTAAAGGTAATTCACAAAAGTCAGATCCTGCTAGATTAATCAACATGCAAGTTCATGCCAGCAAATGCTTGCTCGCAATTAGAGAAGCATGTGTTAAAATTACAATGAAGCTTGAGTTAATCAGTTTAATATCCACTTACCAATTTTTTTTAAATAAAAAAAAAAAAACTTCGTTTTAAAAAGCTAAATAATATCAACCATCTAGAAAGCAACTTAGGAAGCAGCCCTTTAGAACTTAGTTCTAAATAAAGACACTACCCAATAAATGGACACAATCTATTTGAAAATCAAATAACCATTTGAAAAAGGGTTTTTTAAATCTCGTTGCTACAAGTAATTTCTAAAATTCCTATAACTGACAGATATTAGAACAAAATATTTTTCTCTATCCAGTTTGTTTACCTATTGCATTTGACAGCTTTTTATGCTTAGTCAATTTCACTATACGGCAGTAGAATGAAGACATCACTCACATGTACTACTCTGGAGAGAGCTCACCTGTTTACTCCTCCACAATCCCTGCAAGAGGGTGTTTGCCAGTAACAGAAGCAGCAAAGCTGATATGAAAAATGCAGAAATAATAAGCAGGAGAAGAGGAAGGAATAAGCCTGAATTTGTTTGGCATTGTGACTTTTTAGGCTTACACAGAAGACCCTTCCTAACATCAGTATGGAAGCTGAACACTCATTTAAAAAAAAAAAAAAAAAAAATCAGGACACTATTCAGAGTATGCTTTCAGAAATTTTATTTTTTCTAATTATTTTAAATGAAAACAAGAGAGTGTTGCTTTAAACAAACTACCTTCCCATCACAATGATTAATTAGAAAATAAAAAGCTCATCTCCTAAATAATTGCATGTTAACATATTGTCGGCCAAACCATCATTTTTGCCACATGATCCCCATCATGTGGAGATGTTCCTTAACTTGTGAGAGGCAGATTCCCCCCACCAGAACCTTCCACATTGATATCCACTGTGAACAGCTGGGTTACTGGGACTGTGGCAAAAATGATGGTTTGGCCGACAATCTGTTAACATGCAATTATTTAGGAGACAAATAGCTTTTATTACATGCACGTCAATGACATGGCTGAAGGATTCATACAGCTATAGATACAGTGGTTCTACACTGGAGCACAGATAGCTGTGCTGGGTCCCACGATCATGCCTGCCTCAAGAAAGACCACATTGGTTCTGCTGTACTCTATGGTTTCTTCAGCCATCAAAGAGAGGAGCGATTTAACTCTTACTGATTCATCTCAGAATTCAATAGCCTGGACAGGCTGTTTCCCACTTGAAGGCCTATCATTAGGACACTTTTCGAACTTACATGAAAGAGGATCTAGTTAAACATTACATCACTCTTCAGATGTTGCTCTATGTTTGCTGTTTTAACTATATTGAAAAAGAGCACCACCACCAACTTTGCCTCCAACAATTGAAACTGTGGTGCATGATTGGGTTTCTTTGGGGGTGGGGAAGTCATGTGGGAAGTGTTGCATACTATGTATATTTGGACTGTAACCATATTACAATTTAAAAAAAGAATTAAGCCCAACCGACGGAAGTACAGTGAATTATGCTAAATTAATTCCTCCAAAGGATTCAGATCAAACATTTTTCACTTTCAAACATATAGCTAAAGGTTCTTCTATGGCAGTGGTTCCCAAACTTGTTCCACCGCTTGTGCAGGGAAAGCACCTAGCAGGCCGGGCCGGTTCGGTAACTTGCCGTGTCCGCAGGTTCGGCCGATCGCGGCTCCTAGTGGCCGCGGTTCGCTGCTCCAGGCCAAGGGACATACTGGCTACCGCTTCCAGCAGCTCCCATTGGCCTGGAGCAGCGAACCGCGGCCACTGGGAGCCGCGATCGGCCGAACCTGCAGACACAGCAAGTAAACGACCCGGCTCGGCCTGCTAGGGGCTTTCCCTGCACAAGCGACGGAACAAGTTTAGGATCCACTGTTCTATGGACATCATCAACATACTTTTTGAGAATTTGCCAATTGTGCTTAGGCACTCTACGATATAAAGTAATTTAAGTTAAGTTTAGAACAGCAACAACAAATCAGAAACATATAAAATAGGAAACTATTCAAACGAGGGGATTTTAGGTATTCAGGACTAATCATGGAGGAAGATACTGAAAATTATTATGGTTTGTCATGTAACTGGCAAATTATAGAGCTATGATTAGAGAGCCCTGTGCAGATATACAATTTATATCTGAAGACATAAGTGTAGCTGCAGGGCTCTGGTGACAACGAGCCAGACCAGCAGGACCATGGCCAGCAACTGGGGCAGAAACCACGGTGGCCCGACATGCTGCTGCTTTCGCCACTATCGCAGAAGCCAGTACCCAGCCCACGCAGCTCCTCTGGCGTGGCTGTGCCGCCTCCAGCCCTGCCCACTGGCGTGGGCACCAGGCTCACTGGTAGCTGTCGCTAGTCACGCTGGTGCATGCAAGCAGCTCACACGCTCCCAGATAGGAGTCCCAGTCATGCAGCGGTGTGCAACTCCTGTCACTAGTGTGTGCGCAAGTGGCCCTTGTACTCCTGTCTGACAGCGTGCGAGCCGCTTGCACACACTATTGTGACCAGGTACCGCTGCCAGTGAGCTTGGTGCCCGCCACAGTGGGCAGGGCTAGAGGCGGCACAGCCACGCCAGAGGAGCTGCCTGGCTGCGGTTCCTGGCTTGGTCGCTGGCCACGGCCCTGCTGGTCTCCCTCATTGCCACTAGAGCCCAGCAGCTCCGCAGCTATAAATTGTGTAGCCATGATTTACTGTTCTATGAGATAATTATTTAGTATATAAGCAATTAGCTATATATTAAAAGAAATTAATTTTCATAATGGTATAGTTCCACAAGGTAATCTCACTAATATATTTACTGGGTAAATATACTGTAAATGAATACTTAAATGACTAAAGTACTATAAACCAGCGATTACATGTGGTGTGAAACTGTAAAAAGCATGGTCAGTCTTGAATCTAATATTTAATATTTGAGTGTGCCCAAGAGGAAAGAGTGTAGCATGCACATACCAACAATATCAGCAAACAGAGAAAGGAAGAATGGCAAGCACTGTGGAACAGAATTAAAACTACAGAGTTGTTAGAGAAACAGAAGTTAACAGAAAATGGTTTAGTTATAATAAATGAAAGGTTTTTCATTTAGAGAATGTTACAGAAAGATCTAAGCATGACAGACAACTGGAACTTAGCCAGGCGAAATGATGCGTCTAAAAAACAACAAAAACCAAGCACTAAGAGTTACAATGGTATGTGGAAACTAAGGTCTTTAACCTAAAAATTGTTCTGTCAGAGGGGACCCCCACATCCACATACAGAACCTTTGACGGGGACAGGGGTCCACCTATGTAGAGCAATTTGCAGGATTGAGGCCTAAGGTTTAATGTGCAGGAGGTCAGAATAGATGATCATGATGGTGCCTTCTGGCCTTAAAGACTATGAGTCTATCACATGGCAACATGACATAAGTAATTACCTTTTTAAAATAACCTATTAAAATTATAACATATTTACTAGATTTAGAGAAATAATGGTTAAGAACTGACATGATAACTGTATGTACCTATATACAACCAATAAAGTAATAATAGCCTGAAATTAAAAAAAAAGAAAAATTAAGTTAAGTGGTAGATCTCATTTTTATAAAATGCTATCAATTAGGCTGGGTTGGGTAATTATATATCTTCATAGGATTTAATATGCTTACTACTTTCTACACAATGAAACAGAAGTACAAAAATCAAAACCATAAAACGGAAATCTTTAAAGTCCCAATTCTGCAAATATGCACGTGCTTGGGATTACTCACACTCAGAAAGTTAAGCACATGTAAATATGTTTGCAGTTCTGAGGCCTAAATGTGGTAACTAAAGTTAAAAAACAACACCCACACAAAATCCACTCTTCATTACTTTTAACTTACCTGGTCTCTTTCTGGATTTTTCATGCCCTAATTGTCCTAGATCATTACATCCACATGTATACACAGTCCCATCATCCAGGACAAAAACAGTGTGTCTGAGTCCACATCCTACATCTCGGACCTTTTTATTTAGGAAAAAGTCACTTTTTCTGGGTTCTAATACAATCTCTTCATCAATTCCACCCAATCCAAGCTGTCCAAAGGATGCATTTCCCCAGCACAACATGGTTCCAGTTGTCTTGATCAGTAAGATCTTGCAACTTCACTGTTCAAAATGTTCCTTCTGTGACAGTGTTCAGGGGGAAAAAAATAAAGTACCGTTATGAAGGAGACAATACTTAAAGCAACACCCTACATTCAAAAGTATATGTAAACAAACATTTGTTTTTTCTATAGCAAAATCTTTGATAACTGAAACTGAAGACTTTTGAAAGTCCAACTTACTTGTCACTCTTTAAGCTCTTTGTTAACTTTCTGCAGTACTCTCAACTTGGAGACAGATAATTTAAGTCACTTTCACTCAGGGTGGATTTGATTTAAATCAAATTTATTTAATTTAAATCACTAGTCAGGAAGACTCAATTTAATAATGGATTTCTACATAAAAGCTCATTCTTGTTGGTTCTTATAACCTTAATACATATTCTTCACAGGTAGAGGAACTTCATTAAAATATTCCCAAACTGAGTCTCTTTTACGGCCTGCTGCCATTATAGGTTTTCCCTTCTAGTGAGAGAATGGTATGGTAGATCTTACATTCAGAAAGATCTCAAGACTTCTGGAATATGCTGCTCAAAAAGTTTCACTTTTGTTTCTACTGCCTGTCCCTCCCTTCTCACATTTATCTCCAAACAACTTCTCCTTGTCCAGATCTATTCCACCCCCAACAATCTTCTATTCATTCAACTTTTTGAAACTTTGCACTTTTAGAGAGAGGTAAGGGACTGACTCATACCTGGTCTACACTAACCCCCCAATTCGAACTAAGATACGCAACTTCAGCTACGTGAATAACGTAGCTGAAGTCGACGTACCTTAGTTCGAACTTACCGCGGTCCAGACGCAGCAGGCAGCCTCCCCCGTCGACTCCGCGTACTCCTTTCACCGAGCAGGATTACCGGAGTCGACGGCGAGCACTTCTGGGTTCGATTTATCGCGTCCAGACAAGACGCAATAAATCGAACCCAGAAGTTCGATTGCCTGCCGCCGAACCAGCGCGTAAGTATAGACAAGCCCTCAGTGTACACAAATTTGCAGAGGGACAACAGGGTTGAGGTCTGTTATTTCTCACCTCTATATATTATTTATTTATTTTAAAACATTTTTGCTGTTAACAAGCATGTGGTCTCTGGAGACACAAATCCATAGTTTGAGAACTGCAAAACTAAGCATCTCTGATGGTATCTTCTAGACTGAGCACTGAGTCCCATTGGGTAGATAGAAAGATTAACCTAAATAATCTATACAGAAGCCCCTGGAGCCCCATAAGATTGGGTCCCTAATCCATGAACTACTAGAACTCATTTACAAAACTTTTCTTAAACATTACATGAATATATTGTCTCATACTATAGAATTAGAATTTATAATCCCTATTCTATGATGAGATATCTTTGAGCTATAATGTATCTTAATTAAAACTATCTTTAGATAAAATGCTTTTTGAGGAAAAAACATATCCAAAAAGCCCAATTTAAATAAAAAAAAATCCTATTTAAATTTAAAATAGCCCATTTTTTTTTTTTTTTTTTAAATCATTGATTTTTATCCACCCTGCTTTCACTATCAGGATCCAAGTGTTGCAGTATTTAGATTTCAGTCACCGCATGGGAACATTTATTGGTTTAAAGATAACTATTTCCTTTGGTATTTTCTTGAAAATTCAGAAAGATTTCTAACATTTTCTAGTCTTCAGTTTTATAAAAGCTTATTTTGACAATTTATATTTTGGGCTACATTTAATTTGCCAATGCCCTTTAAAAACTTCAATGATGTTCTATCAACTTGTATAGTTGATAATACAAACTGATGTGCCAATAACTATAATATTTACCATGTACGAGTCTCTTGACACTTGACATTTTAAAGTTGTATTTTTTAAATTAATCAGAACCTAGACCATGATCCTGCACTCTGATCTAGGCAGATGGACTGCTTCGTCTCGGTGCATTTCTCTGGGGCTTCACATGAGCACAACTGTCCATGGAGGCAAATCACAATGTAAACTGGGGCCCAAGGATGGCAACCACTTCTTTGAATTCACCTTGTTAAGTTACATCCATGGACACAAACTCATCCATCCCTGCTCCCTGATGCCTGGATCCCATTTTTAAGTTTGTATTGACAGACTACAGCTAGATTTTGAGAAGACACAATGGAACATTTCACTCTTCTTTTTGGTTTCCAATTTTGTGTGAAGTATTTGTGATTTAAAAGACAAAAAAACCAATAACTGATTTCACAGGAAGAGGAATTTCACCATATTTTCAAAACAGAACCTAAAAATATTCTTGATTAAAAATTACTGCAATTCTTCATCAATTAACACTGTAATCAAAATAGCATGACTGAAGAATGGAATATTCAATATAAGTTTATCATAAATATAGTACATTTACACAATATTACATCCTGAAAGATCCTCATGTGCTTTACAAACTATATAAATACAGCATCACACACAGAGTTACTGTCACCAACTACCACATTGAACACTGCATAATAGGGAAAGGGGTGACATTATGGGCAAGGATAACAGAGCAAACCATTTCTTTTACCAAAAGTCAATGTGCAAGAGATAGAACATCGACTTTCACGGTCTCACTGTAAGCAACCCAAACGTAGTAACCTATGTGGAACTCAATTTATCTGTCTCAGAAGGTTAAAGCATAACCAGATAGAGATAGTTACTTTTCCCATAGAGTAACCTATTATCTTACCACATTCAGAAGAGCATGCTCAAAATGATGTTGGCTTGACTTGGGACATAGTTATAGATCCATCACAGATCCATATAAATGACTGCCATACAAGTTTCAACCTGTAACACAAAAGAATAGAACAGATATACAATCGTTGTGGAAACCTTGGATCACTATCAAGTACTCTTCGCAGCTGGTGGAAAAGGGGGGAAAAAATCCACAAATTAATTAGCTTTTTTACCAGAATAGACTGCAGAACAATCAAGTCTAAAAACATTAATTTAAAAGGAAAAAGGTATTCTAATATTTTCACTTAAATAGAAATGTAATTTAAACCCTAACTTTATTATTCTGCAGGAAAATATTTATGAAATTTAGAGAATTTCAGTACTTAATAGTAGTGTTCTGCACTTCTGTTATGGTTCCAGCCAAGGATCTGAAAGGCATTTATTTTCTAGCAAGTAATCATGAATCTCCATGCATTTTATTTTCAAGTCTGAGTCACTATTTATTGAGACATCCACTAAAAACAGTATGATACTGACAAGGAACAAATAGGAAAGATGGGGGAAAGCAACCTCCTACTTTTCTAGAGCAAGAAACAATGATGGGGCCAAAAGAAGAGACTGGAAAATTCCAGTATGCTTTAGTGAATTATGTTTACTTGCTGTAGACACAGTGAAGAGCTCTGAAAAACTACAGCATAAACATAGCAGCTTCAAAGGCTACAGTATAGACTATAATTCTCCTTTCTTCTTCTTCTTGTAGGCAACATTCTGCATTCATGGAAACATTGACAAATTCTGAATCCCATTTTCAAACATCCCATGCAGAATAAATAATGTTTAACATTTATTGTATACAGTACCTTTCAGCCTGAAAGATCCCAGACTGCTTTACGATCAACACACAACGGACCAATGAAACACACCTTTACTGTAGATAAAACTAGGTGCACGCAAATTTTGGGCAAGCCTGCTGATACCAACTCCTGCTTGTCAAACAGCACCCAGGGGTCTTATAATGCTCAGAGAAGTCTAGATCTTTCAGGTCTGTTCAAAACCACCCACCGATACAAACTGCGCAGTCCATCACGCCCCCACTCGCAGCAGAAGGGAAGAAACGCAACACCAGCCACCCCCGAGGAGCGGGCCCCCAGCTGGCTCTTGCCGCGCACAGGGAAATCGCGGTGGACCATGGTCCCGCAAGCTGATATGGCCAAGGGTCTAGCACAATTTGGGGCGGTGAGTGAACTGTCCGGGCCCCGCCCACGGGCCGTACTGGGCCGGATGCCGGCCCTGCAGGGCTCAGAGGAGGCGGGTGCCCGTCCCGCTCTGTGCGTGCCGCAGGGCAGGGCGCCGGTCCCACTGCGCTGTAACTACAGCCCTGGGGCACTGCAGGGATCGGCAGCCGCTACCGCAGAGCTCAGCCCCGGCCCCTCCCACCGGGGCCGGCTCGGGGCCCGACACTCACAGAGCGGAGCCCGGTCCCAACCGCCAGGCCCGGCCCCCCCGCGCACCCTCGCCCCGGCAGCAGCGCCAGGACCGGCTAACGAGCCTCACGCACCGGTGGAACTCACCGGAGGGCCGGGGAGAGCCGGGTCGCAGGCCCGCGGAGACCCCCGAGAGAGGGGATCCTGCTCCAGCGAGGAGGCAGCACCAGGAAGAAGTGACAGGCCTCTAGCACCGCGGGTCCGGCGAGGCTTCCGCACTGCGCATGCGCCTCGCCCCGCGCGTGGCGCGGGGGACTCGCTCCCGCCTCCCCCGTCAGTGGGGGAGCGCGGAGAGACCCTGCTCAGACCGGCCCCGCCCCACCGCTTCCGCGAGGACAGGACTCCCGCTCCCGTTCGCCCCCAGCTTCCGGTCCCAGGCCCGGCCCCGCACAGAAAGAGCGACCCCGGAGCCCAGGATGCGTTTGCAGCGTTGGCCTTTTGAATAAGGGGGAGGGATAGCTCAGTGTTTTGAGCCTTGGCCTCCTAAACCCAGGGTTGTGAGTTCAATCCTTGAGGGGGCCACTTGGGGATCTGGGGCAAAATCAGTACTTGGTCCTGCTAGTGAAGGCAGGGGGCTGGACTTGATGACCTTTCAAGGTCCCTTCCAGTTCTAGGAGATGGAATATCTCCATTAATTATAATTATAAATAGCTGCTGGTAAAGTGAGCAAACTGTACTGGAAATCCTCGAGCCGGAGCCCCCCAGTGCCTGCCTCTTCCGAGAGCCCCCTGAAACTCACTTGTACTGGGCACTGTCAATATCCAGCTTTCAAACGATTTTACCTCCGAACAACGTTTTGTTCATACTTCTCAGACTCAGTGAAAGCGGACAAGGGAGGAAGAAGACAGGGTCCTGGTGAATGTCCCAGATCTGTGATTCCTACATGTTCAAGATACAATATCAACTAATTGTCATGATTAGAGAGAAACGTGTGGTCAGGCTGACGTAAAATCGCCCTGTGTCAAGACTTACTTAAAGATGCTATTGAGGTAGATAACAGTTTACAGAAGCTCATGAAAACAAACAGAATCAGATGTACTGCACTATATCCTATGGTTTTCAAAGTATGTATGAACATGGAAGCAAATACTCACAGGACTCAAATGAACTTTGCCCCCATGACACTAGATGCCCTAAAGAAAAGGTTGAAATTGCCTTTACAGAGGAAAATAACTGATATAGTTAGATAACCATATAACTATCAATATTAAGTAATGGTGTGTTATTTGGGTTATATAAAATTAAAATTAACTTATTGTCAATTTCCTATACTGTTGTTTGGGAGAGTAGCAGCAGAAACATCACAGACATTCAGGGAAAAGGCAGCAAGGGAGCCCTAGACACAGCAAAAGAAGGCCTGGAAATGAAGCCCTGTGAGAAAGCAAGGCTAGGGAACTTTGGGGGCAGAATGCTGTTTGGAAAGAGGCTTGGAGCTGTGAGTAAAGAAACTGCCCCCTGTTTGATTCATACTGTGTTCTGGGAAACAGGACTTTGTGTACTTTCTTTGTAAATAAACAGGATTGCATACAAGGAATATCTATCATCAGTTTCTCCTCCTAATAGAAACAATCTGCAAGCCCCTGAATATTGGCTAGCCACTCATGCCCAAAGGTGTAATACTGGTGGAAATCATTAGAAATCAGGCTTTTCCAATTTTCACCAAAATCAGTAGGATTCTTGAATCTTACCTGAGTGTGGAGCAGGGCGAGGGACCTGGCCATAGTGGGAGCAAGGACCTGGCTGGGTGTACAGTTTGGCCTACCTAAGCAATGAAATACGTGTGTGGTCCTCTAGTATAAATATTAAAATGAATCCATCCCCTGAATCACAGTGTATTGTTAGCACTATAGCTTTCAGCAATTTAATCCAAGATACATTAAGCCAGGCCGCAATTTGTAGTGTCAGATCCTTTCAGGCTTGCAAGTTGCAGCTCAGCATTTTACAAAGTCAGCTATAATTTGCTGGCCTAGATGGGATTCCCCCACAGTGACGATCATATAAAGGTCCGTGGAGAAGGTAAGGAAACCCTTTCTACTTCCCTTGACCTAGCAGGTCAAGATCATGTTAAATATTAAAAATAATTAGTAATCTATTTAACAATCCTCAGATAAATATCTATCTTGTACATAATTAATTTAACTCTCTGCTTTTGAAAGATGATGCAACACATTTTTCCAATAGGTTATACAATCTGTGAACAATATATGTATAAATATTCAGGTGTTAAATTAGCCTAAAGAGAATTCCTCCATTGTCCCCTGTATGCAATAGGAAGAGAATTACAAGAATAACATTAATTTAAGAAAATATAAAGTCTACCTTGATCAGACTAATTTCATACCAATATCTATTTTGGTATGCAAAATCTATTACAAATCAATCAGACAATTTACTCTTTGAGTTGAGGTGATGATCCACCATTGGCTATGATGGGCCATGACCATGTCTCTACCGTTCTCAGATATTTCAGAACAGGCAACAGGGGTCACCATGGTAAATCCTCCCACCCCCAGTACATTTGGTCTATGGAGAAGTTCTAGAATGAGAGTATGACAATGCTTTGGTTGTCCAGTGAGTTTTATTTGTTTTACTACCTGATAATCAACCACAAAACATAAAGCTCTAAGCTTATGTCATTAATATGCTAAAAGAAGTAAAGTGAGATGGAGACACTTTCACAGGCATCAGTGTCTTAAAGTTAAATAATAGACTTCTTAAATGGTTTGCATATACAAGGTTTGTGTATTCAAAAGAGTCCTTGGAAATGGACAAAAGATCTTTCAAGTGCACCAATATGCATCCATGCAAATTAGAAGAATAAAAATGGAAAAAATTAAACAAGTTTGTTTAATGATCTTAAACAAATATATTGTGACCTGAAAATACATTTATAATTGTGAACTGATTTCTAAACTGGGGGATTAAGTTAATGTGAAAAATGAATGAATTACTTTTAATGCCTGGGCACACAAACCCTCTGGGAACTATAAAAGGAGGGTGTCTTCAGTTATATAGGGAAATATAATGGGATTTGACACTGGATTTAAGGCTTGTCTACTGCCCAAAGAAGTTGCATCAGGTTAACTAATAGTGTCATGTTGCACCAGTTTAGTTAAACCAGTGCAACCTTGTGTATAAACACTCATATCAGTTTAAACATGACTTACAGCAGTTTAGTTTGCCCGTTATTTAAACTGATGTAAAAGTGTTCATACAAACACATGACCCTAACAACTCCCTTATGCCAATTGGCAAAGGGCACACTCAACACACTGTTGTCAGAATATTTTGCCAAATAGTGTTTTGTAAGGTATCATATGACAATTGGTGAAACACTGGTCATGAATATCATTGTGTGGTGTATATACGGGTTATTTATAAAGAGTAATGTATGTGTGCTGGAAATATGTTGTTAAAATATATTTTGGGGGCAGCAGATAAAGTAGCCTGCCTTAGACAAAGGAATGTGGATTTTACCCATCTGCCTGGCTTGATTACAGGCAGAGGACAATGAAAGTACATGAGGTAAATAAAGCAATCAAACTAACAAGTGGCAGGGGAAACAGTATCAGGGCCTGATCGGGGAACACACAGGAGCCTGAACCCCCGGGAGGTCTTCCTGGCTCTTGAGACAAAAACAATGGACTTCAGGAAGTATAAGGGGAGCAAAAATTCATTCTAGTTATCTGTCACTTAGGGGGAAAGGAGACAGAGCCTTCTGATTCTGTGAACATTGGATCTTCCTGCTGCAAGAACTAGTAATGCTGGTATCTTAATGTCAGTGAGAAAGCTGTTTAGGAAAAGACTGTAGCTGCTACAGTTAAGGCTCAGAGACTAGAAAGTGTGTTTTGTTTGTAACTATAAGTGTCCTTTTCTCTTGCTTAATATCACTTAAATCTATGTTCTTTATTAATAAACTTATTCTTAATTTCACAATAAACCATCTCAGTGCTGTTATATTGAATTAAAGTGTGAGTCCTCAACTACACTAACAGGCTGTCTCTTTGGAGGCGGCAAACTTAATAATTTCTGAGAGTGTCCAGTCAGAGGGATGTCTCTGGGGACTGGGGTTCATTAAGTGTTACCTGCAAGGCAAGGTTAAAATTGGCAGAGTCTCAAGGAGTTTGCTGACAAGGCCCACAGGACTGGTGTGGCAGGGAGTGACACACAGTTGAAGCCCCAGCAAAGATCACTTTTCCTGAGGCAGAGAGGTAACACAATGGCTTATGGTTCTGGGTACCCTGAGGAGAGTACCACAACACAGTTGCACCAGTTTCATGAAACTGGTTCAGTATCACATCTTTAGTTAAACCAGTGCAACTGTGTGTGTGGACAAGGCCTGAGAGACTTCTTGGAACATGAAAATCTGACTGGAGAACAGGCACACCTTCCTGGGATACTGAAAAGACAGTTGACTTTCTAAAATGTCAGGCTTTAGTTTTCAGACTGTGTTTTCAATATCACAATTAACTAAACCGAGAAGCTGTTTAACTACACTTTAAGCAATGTTTGCCTTGTTATGTTTATATTCTGGTTAACCTTTATTTTGTGATGTTATCTATACTGGCTATATACACTGTTGGTGAGCATAAGCAGTGTTAGGAGTCCTGGAGAAGAAACCTGAGCTCTGAACACAAAGAAGGAAAGAAAATGTTCCAAGCACCAGCTCATGGGAAAGGGCTAGCAATCTCTTCCCCATAAGGTTCTGTGAAATAGATGATTGTGGTCAGTATGAGCACAAGGAGATCCTAAAGACCTAAGGGATGTGAGGCCAGATTACAGGGAATCTGATGACAGGAAAAAATACTGGAGTTGATTTGAGCCAACAAAGGTTGGGCTTGGCCTTCAATTTGGGGAATGAGATGCAGAGAAGGTGTACTGGACATCAGTGAACCCCTTTGATTCTGTGGAATTTCCCCAACAGGCAAGAACTGATTTATAGATCTGCTGTCTGAGTAATTGGTAGAAGGTCTGTGGTACTGAAAGCACATGTATCTATCTGTAAGCACTGAGGAAATGAAGAGAGTTTATCTCTTCTGACTCTAAATAGCATCATACTGAACCAAATTCGCCCCTCACTTATATTATTACAACCCTCTTGACTTCAACACATTTGCCCTGATGTAAATGAGAAGAAAGTTTGACTCGTTGGCCCTTTTGGAATTATCCATGTTTTTGTGTGTGTTGCTTTTGTTCCTTTGTTTGTAAATACCAATTTACATA